GGCCGAGATGGGTGGATCACCTGAGGTCGGGAGTTTGAGACCAGCCTGACAACATGGAGAAACCCCGTCTCTACTAAAAATACAAAGTTAGCCAGGCGTAGTGGTGCATGCCTGTAATCCCAGCTACTCAGGAGGCTGAAGCAGGAGAACTGCTTGAACCTGCGTGGCAGAGGCTGCAGTGAGCCGAGATCACACCACTGCACTCCAGCCTGGGCAGCAAGAGTGAAACTCCATCTCCAATAAAAAGAAACCCACTTTATCTACAAAGATACAAATAGACTGAAAGTCAGAGTATAGAAAAACATATTCCATGTAAATGAAAACCAAAAAAAAAGAGCAGGAGTAGCTATACTTATAGAAGACAAGAGAGACTACAAGTCAAAGACTGTGAAAAGAGCAGGAGCAGCTATACTTATACAAGACAAAACAGACTACAGGTCAGACTGTAAAGACACAGGGAAAGTCACTACATGATGATAAAGGGGTCAATTCAGCAAGAAGATACAACAATTATAAATATCTATGCACCCAACACCAGAGCACCCAGATATCTAAAGCAAACACTGATAGACTGAAAGTGAGACACAGACTGCAATACAATAGTAGTCATGGGCTATAACACCCCTTCTCCGTAGGGTGTTTCCAGCCAGAAATCAACAGAAACCCTGCAGTGAACGACGCACTACATCAAACAGGTCTAACGGACATTTGCAGAACATTTCGTCCAGCTGCTGCAGAACACACTTCTCATCAGCACATGGAACGTTCTCCAGAAGAGACTATACACAAAACAGGTTTCAACCAATTCAAAAAAGCTGAAACCATACTGAGTATCTTTTCTGACTACAATTAAATAAAACTAGGAATCAATAAGAGGAACCTCAAAAACTACACAAACACATGGAAATGAAACATGTTCCTGAATAATCAATGTGTTAATAAAGACATTAAAAAGAAAATCTTTAAATTTCCTAAAACAAATGGAAATGGAAACACAATATATCAAAATCTATGGGATACAGCAACAGAGGTGCTAAGACAGAAGTTTACAGCAATAAACATCTACACCAAAAGAAGCAGAAGACTTTAAACAACCTAAGCAAGAACCTCAAAGTACCAGAAAAGCAAGAACAAACCAAACCCAAAATCAGAAGAAGAAAAGAATTAATAGAGATCAGGAGATCAGAGCAGAAATAAGTGCAATTGAGACTAAAAAAAAAATGCCAAAAATCAATAAATCAATAAACTATTTCAAAAATATAAACAAAATTCACATTTAGCTAGAATTTTAAAAAGAGAAGATCAAAATAAATAAAATCAGAAAACAAAAGGAGACATTATAACCAATACTACAGAAATAAAAAGGATCATTAGAGACTAACATGAACAACTACACACCAACAAACTGGAAACCTAGAAGAAACTGATAAATTCCTGCATGCAAATACCCTACAAGACCGAACCATGAAGAAATGGAAAACCTGAACAGACCGATAGTAAGTAACAAGATCAAAGCAGTAATAAAAACTCTCATCCCCCAGGCACAGTGGCTCACGCCTATAAATCCCAACACTTTGGGAGGCTGAGGCGGACAGATCACCTGAGGTCAGGAGCTCGAGACCAGCTTGACCAACATGGAGAAACCCCATCTCTACTAAAAATACAAAATTAGCTGGGTGTGGCAGTGCATGCCTGTAATTCCAGGTGCTCGGGAGGCTGAGGCAGGAGAATCTCTTGAACCCAGGCGGTGGAAGCTGCAGTGAGCCGAGATCATGCCGTTGCACTCCAGCCTGGGCAACAAGAGTGAAACTCCATCTAAAATAAATTAATTAATTAAATAAAAACTCTTTCATCAAAGAAAATCCTAGGTCCTGATGGCTTCACTGCTGAACTATCAAACATTTAAGGAAGAACTAGTGTCAACTGTACTCAAACTATTTAAAAAAAACGAAGTGGGGAATACTTCCAAAGTCATTGTAAAAGGCATTATCCTGCTACAGAAACCAGAAAAGGACATAGCAGATAATGAAAACAACAGGCCAATATCCCTGATGAACACAGATGCAAAAATCCTCCACAAGTGACTAGCAAACCAAATTCAACAACACGTTAAAAAGATCATTCACCATGATCAAGTGGGATGCATCCCAAGGTTGCAAGGATAGTTTAACATATGCATATCAATGAACAGATAATATTATACAGAACCAAGAGGAAAAAAAATCAATCATTTCAATAGATGCTGGAAAAGTAGTCAATAAAATTCAGCATCCCTTTATGATAAAAGCTCTCAGCAAACTGAGTACAGAAGGAACATACCTTAAAACAATAAAGGCCATATATGACAAACCCACAGGTAACAGTATATTGAACAAGGAAAAACAGCTTTTCTCTAAGATCTAGAACAAGACATAGATGCCCATTTCTACCACTTTTATTCAACATAATACTGGAAGTCCTACCCAGAGCAATTAAGCAAGAGAAAGAAAGAAAAGTCACCCAAATTGGAGAGGAAGAAGTCAGAATCATCCTTATTCACAGATGACATAATCTTATATTTGGAAAAACTGAAAGACTCCACCAAAGAAACTATTAGAACTAACGAAAAGGTTTCAGTAAAGTTCCAGAATTCAAAATCAACATAAAAAAATCAGTAGCATGTACACATGCCAACAGCAAATAATCAGAAAAACAATCAAGAAAATCCCATTTACAGTAGTTACAAAAATATAAAATACCTAGATTCCATGCTCATCAGTTGGAAGAATACTGTTAAATTATTAATACCACCCAAAACAATTTACAGATTTAATGCAATTGTTATCAAAACAGCAATGACACTGCAAAGAAACAGAAAAAAACAACCCTAAAATTTGTATGGCACCACTAAAGGCCCTAAACAGCCAAAGCAAACCTGAAGCAAAAAGAACGAGGCTGGAGGCATCACACTACCTGACTTTAAAATATACTATGAAGTTGTAGTAACCGAAACAGCATGGGAGGGAGTGGCATAAAACACATACACAGGCCAACTGAACAGACTAGAGAAGCCAGAAATAGATCCACACATTTACAACCAAGTCACGTTCAACAAAGGAGCCAAGAGCATGCACTGAGGAAAAGATAGTCTCTCCCACGAAGGGTAATGGGAAAGCTGGATAACCACAGGCGGAAGAATGAAACTAGTCCCCATCTCTCACAATACGCAAAACCAAAGCAAAAGCGATTAAAGACTTGAATCTAAGACCGGAAACTATGAAGCCGCTAGAAGAAAACAGAGGGGAAATGCTTCTGGAAATTGGTCTGGGCCAGATTTTTTGTATAAGATCTCAAAAGCAAAGGCTACAAAAGCAAAAAAAAAAAAAAAATAGGCAAATGTAAAAAATTTTACATCAAGCTGAAAAGCTTCTGTGCAGCAAGGGAGACAATCAAGCAGCCAGGCATGGTGGTGCGTGCCTGTAATCCCAGCTGCCTGGGAGGCTGCGGCAGGAGGAGCTCCTGAGCCCAAGAGTTTGAGGCTGCAGTGAGCTATGATCGCACCATTGCACTCTAGCCTGGACAACACAGCAAGACCCGAAGCAAACAACAAAACTATCAAAGCAACGATGAGACAAGCTACAGAACGGGAGAAGACATCTACAAACTAGCCACCCAACAAGGAATTAATAACCAGATTATATAAGGAGCTCAAAGAACTCAACAGCAAAAAAAACGAGCTGATTAAAAAATGGACAGACGACCTGAATAAGCATTTCTCAAAAGAAGGCATACAAATGGACAACAAGTGTATGAAAAAATGCTCAACATGACTAATCACCAGAGAAATGCAAATCAAAACCACAATGAGATTTCATCTCACCCTAGTTAAAATGGCTTTTCTCAAAAAGGCAAGGAATAGCAGATGCTGTTGAGGACATGCGGAAAGGGGAGCCGTCAGACACTGTTGGTGGGAAGGTAAGTTAGTACAGCTACTATGGAAAACAGTATGGAGGTTCTTCAAAACACTATAAACAGAACTACCATGTGATCCAGCAATCCCACTACTGGGTACAGATCCAAAAGAAAGGAAATAGACATACTGAAGAAACACCTGCACTCCCATATCCACTGCAGTACCACTAATAATGGCCAAGATATGCAGTCCACCAAAGTGTCCATCAAAGGATGAGGGGTAAAGAAAATGTGGTACATAAAACACAAGGAAATGTTATTCAGCCATAAAAAAGGATGAAATCTTGTCATCTGCAGCAACACAAAAAGGACTGGAGGTTAAGTGCAATAAGCAAGCACAGAAAGACAAATAACGCATGCACCGATTCAAATGTGGGAGCGGAAAAAGTGGACATCATGAAGACAGAGAGTAGACTGTGATTACCAGAGGTGAGCGGGGGAGGAGATACACAGAAGCTGGTTAATGAAGAGTTAGGAAGGAGGAGTAAGTGTTCGAAAGTCGGTAAGGTGACTACAGTTAAAAGGATTCTGCAGTATTATTTCAAATACCAAGAGAGCAACTCAAATGTTTCCAGCATAGAGATAAATGTTTGAGATGATCGATATCCCAATTACCCTGATTTGATCATTACACATGATATGAATGTATCAAAATATATGTGCCCTGAAAACATCTATGTTGTATCAATAAAAAGATAACCCTAATCCTAACACACAACGGTGCCCAGTGACGAGCTAGACAAGAGTACACATCCTGCACAATTCCATCTATGTGGATTTCTAGAAAATGGCTGCCTGGGCAGGAAGGAGTGATCACAAGGGAGGTCAAAGGACTTGGGGTAAGGGGAACACTCATTCTCTTGATTGTGTGTTGCTTTCACAGATGTGACCGTACTCCCAAACTCGTCCAACTGGACACTTTAAATAATGTGCAGGTTACTGTGTTTATAATACCTTTATAATGCTGGGTTTTTGTTTTTTGTTTTTTGCTTTTTTAATAAGGTGACTAGGAGGAGGGGCCCCAGCTGCCCTGCATTCACTGCACTCACTCAAAGCGCTGGTATTTGTTGAGGGTGTACAGCAGGTAGTCGGCCATGGTCTCCTCCCCCACCAGGTGGTCCAGCACTGTTCCTGTGGAAGCAGTAGCCAGGTGAGCACTGGAAACAGCCCACATCTGTGCTCCCATCAAGCTCAAACACATCCCTTCCAGTCTCAGCCCAAAGACATCATGCTTTCAAGGAACAGGCCACCCAGCGACAAAGGCACTCCGCCAAAGGGCGGCACTCAGCTGTGGTCCCGGCCCCAACACCGGCCTAGCATCTGTGACAGACCTCTCTGCCCTGGTCCGTCAAATGGGGAAAGCAAAAGCCACTCATGAGGCAGGGTCCAATGGTGACCAGTGCCTGTCAGCTGTGCACTACCACAGCTCTCACGCAAAGCTTCAGGGAAGATCTGGCAGCAACCAGGTCAAAGGCAGTAACAGCTCCAGTCTGGAGGCCCGTGTCAAAGTCAGCCCTAAAGGTGGGGAGACAGGGGCCCCAGCTCACCACACAGGGCCAGCTTCAGGCCTGTCTCCACACTTTCGATCCGAGGAGCCAGCACGCCAGGAGTGTCCAGCAGGAACATCAGGGGCCGTTCAGAGACCTGGGTGGGCACAAAAGGCACAATCAGGCCACAGTGGCAGCCTCCCACCCAGGCAGGCTGCTCAGGAAGCCTGGGCAGCTTCTGACACCCAATGTTCCAAGGAAGGCCTCCGGGACCCAACCCCAAGGCAGCGTCACTCTCACCAAGCTCTAGGGTTCCTAATTCCCACTTAATTTGGAGAATAAATAAAAGCATCAGGTCCCAACAGCTTGTCTTCTAGTCCCGAGAAGAACACAGGGGAGTGAGTGGGGGTGGGGGGCCGCTCAGCTCTGTCCTGACCACTGTGTGGCCCTGGACAGTGGCCTCCTCATCTGGAAATGGGGTAAACAGAGCGCCTTCCCCAAAGGTTTGACATAGAGACTCTAAATATGGTGTCAGGCCGGGGGCACTGCCTGCCACGGGGGTGCTTGGCGGGGACACTGAGTGGAGGGAAGGGAAACGTGGTCAGCGGCAGGAAGCCACACAGAGGTCAGCAAGTGGCAGGCGCCTGCACAGCTCTCAGCAGAGTGCTGGACCTGGCCCCTGAGGACTCTACCTGAATTCTGGACATCACAGCTCTGGTGATCCCAGGCTCGCCGCCTACCCTGGTGGCTTTTCCTGTAGGAAAAGAAGAAAAGAGGCTCAGATATTTACTAAACACATAAGCGCAGAACAAGCAGGGAGATAACTAGCACAACTGGCCAGCCAAAACGGAAAAACCTAAATGCCAAATGAGCTTCCCAAGGCTATAATTTGTTTCACTTTCAGTCCCAAACCAGCTCACAGCAGGGGCACTTTCCAAGCCACACAGAGGCTGACGGTCTTCAACAAATGCACCAGAACTTGCCTCTCCAGGACTGGAAAGGCACTGTCAGACTGGCCGTCAGACCAGAGCTGCTCCTTCCATAGTCCCCCACCTCCCTCCTGGACCCACCCCTGCACCGGGGTCAGCCTGCCTCCCACAGCACTGCCCACAGAGGGTTGACCAGGAGACCACCGGGGCTCTGAACCCCGAGGCTTCTATAGGACCCAGCTCAGGTTGTGTCCCAAGAGTCTGACCACTCCACTGTGGACAAATGACGCAAGAGTAAAAAACACAAGTGTCCAGCCAGATGAATGGACAAGATGTGGTCTGTACATACAATGGGGGGTGATCGACCTTAAAAAGGAGTATAATTTCTGACACTCACAATAACACAGACAAACCTTGAGAACATCAAGACCAGTGACATCAGCCAGTCACAAAAGGCCAAGTACTGACAGTCCACACGTAGGAGGTAGTTACAGTCACCAAACTCAGACAGAAAGTGGAACGAGAGGTGTAGGTGGCTGGGGACTGACTCTTTGTATTTACAGAGTTTCATTTTCAGGTAACCAAAATATTTGAAAATAGTGGTGCTGGTTGCATAACCCTATAAATGTACTTAATGCCACTGATAAAAAATAACACACTTAAAAATAAAAGAATATTCCTCCTGATGTTCAAAAGAAAAATAAAAAAATAAAAATTAAAAAAAAAAATAAATGATTGTAACAGCTCTCCAATTAGCACCAAAAACACCCTCTTTGTAAAATAACAGTTCACCGTAATTTAAAACCTTCAGATTCGCACATCAAGAATGGGTTTGTTAATAAACACCTTATTAATGTGAAAAATGAAGCCAATAAAGAATGAATTAAACTTTAAAACACTCAAAAAAACACATTAACACGGGGCACAGTGAGGGGTAGTGGGGCTTCTGCTTTGAACCAGAGTCTGAGAACAGGCACGGAGGGGAGGGAGGAAGAGGCGCGCCTGTGACCCCAGAGTCCAGGAAGCCTCCAGCAGCAGCAATGAAAACGCCATCTGAGGCACGGCCTTGCTCAGCCTCCTGCCTGCTATTTCACACATTTTGAATTCTCTGGATCAAACGGATTTAAATGAATGAAAAAATGTTAAAGTTTATAAAAGTCATCTTCATACTAAAGACTTTTAAGGAGAGAAAACTTGAGTGTGAAAACCGCAGCAGAATGACCCGGTCCCCTATTCAGCCCTCCTGTGAACTGGACTAACGAGACAAGCCCCCAAGCGCCGTGTGGCTGTGGGGTCAGCAGGAGACTGGCTGCGCTCCTCAGGCTCGTCCCCTCCGAGAAAGACGAGGCGTCACACACCAGCCACACGCGCCAGTACCTTTCCTGAGGTGCTGCCTCCGGAGGGAGTTGATGAGAGAGGACTTGCCCACGTTGGGGACCCCAATGACCATGATGCAGTACTCCAGGTTCTGCGGGGACACAGACAGGGGTCACAGTAACCTCCCCGGCCACTGCAGCCTGAGATTCCCCAACCCCACCCAGGCAAGGGGACCCAGGCCAGCCCAGCTCGGGGAAGAAGGGAGATGAACGCAGAGGCTCTGCCCACCCAGCAGGGACGGCCCCAGCCCTTTCCACTGCAGGGAATGAGAGGACGAAGGAGGGGCCTCCCTGCCTCGGGGCAGCACCTTCTCCGCAGAGTCCGGGCAGGAGGGGCTAGCCCGTCCCACCACCTCTTCCCAGCTCCGGGCCCCACAACCAACCTCTCCTCGATGGTAGCGGTGACTGCTCCCAATCAGTTCAGTGACCGTCGGGATGATCTGCAACAAACACCCACTCACGGAGCCGCCCCCGGTCTGACTCCCCCCCCCTCAGCACCCCGAACCGGCCCCCCCCGACCGCCCCCCCCCCCCCACCACGGAGCCCCCCCGCCCTGCCCCCCCCCCCCCCCCCCCAGAACACGGAGCCACCCTGGTCTGCCTCCCCCCCACCACCTCAGAACACGGAGCCGTCCCGGATCTGACTCCCCCCACCTCAGAACACGGAGTCCCTAACCCTCCAGTGTCTCCACTTCCACACATTGGTTAGGAAACAGATACCTCACACCCGGAATTCTACCCAACACTTCACAGGCGAACGGAGCGCCACCCCTCACGTGGAGGCAGGACACTCAAGCGTCCGCTGCTGGAAGCCGAGTTCCGTCCGGGTCACAGATGTCAGTCTGAGCTCTGGGCCCGGGGACTGCCGGTGCCCGTCCCCCCTATCAAAAACAAGCAAGGCAGGCCCGGGGCTTCAGTGACAGCTGTGGCTGTAACTACCTTCTAATGAAGAAGCCAGAAAATTCTGCCACATACAACTGGAAACATGAGCTGTGAGTCTCCAAGAGACTGACCACCCACAGCCCTGGAGCGTGTCTGTGCCCTCAGTACAGGGGGACGCACTTGCCCGGGAGATGGCAGCCACGTGTGGCAGCCGGAAACCAACACCAGGCTCTTTTCCAGAGCTCTGCTTCTTCCTAAAGCATGAGTTTACAATACTCCTTGAGCCTGCCGAAGCAGAAACAGAGCAGACAAGAAGCCTACCTGCTTGACATTTTCATCCTTCACACAATTGGTAAAAATGACATTTTTTAGGCCTTCTCCTTCTAAGCGTTGCATAATTTTCTGAAAGAGACAAAACATTTCCATTTTATATTTTTAGGCAGAGTCTCACTCTGTCACCCAGGCTAGAGTGCAGTCGCACAATCTCAGCTACCTGCTTCCTCTACTTCCCTGGTTCAAGCGATTCTCATGCCTCAGCCTCCCATGTAGCAGGCATTACAAGCGTCTGCCATGACACCCAGCTAATTTTTGAATTCACTAGCCTTAACATGCAGTGAAACCAGTGTAAAACGATATTGTATTTCAAAAATCAGTGTTGTGTAATCAGCTAACCTAAAATATGACTGGTGCTTAAATCAGTAAGAGTCCTTCACTGATTCAACTGATTTTATTTAGTTGTCCATCAAGGTGACATGGACAGGGAAATAAAGCACAACACCCCTGAAGCCTCAGTCTGGGTGGCAAATGCACTCGGCTGTCCCCGCTCAGGGAGGAGGAAAGCTGAGCCACACAAGGGCAAGTCTCCCTCTCTCCCCCGATTCCTCAGAAGCAGTGGCATTTCTCAGACCAGGTAAGACACTGCTGTGCCCCCATACTAGACGGTCGCCCACCAGTCTACAAAAAGTCGCATTTTTAGAGGCAGAAATAACCACTGATACGACTTAAAAGTAGCAACTAGTTAAAGCACTTGTGATTATTGAAAAAAAAAACAACAACAACAACAACAAAAGATGCAAATGCAAACGTAGTCCCAGCTACTCAGGAGGCTGAGGCAGCAAGATTGCTTGGGCCCAGGAGTTTGAGGCTGCCTCTGGGTGGTAAATGCACTCGAGTGTCCCCACTCGGGGAGGCAGAACCAGGGCCATCCAAGGACAAGTGAACCTCTCTCACAATTTTTCACAAGCACCGGCATTTTTCGGACCAGGTGAGACACTGCTGTACCCCTATACTGGACGGTCAACTACCAGTCTAAATTTTTCTACCATTCTGCCTCCCTTTGCACAGCGCGGGGTTAGGAACAGTCAGATCCGCAGGCGTGCACAGTGGATATGGGCTCTCACGATGGGAAGATGCCTACTGCTTGGATTCTTCATTAGCAACTCTGGTGGCTTTAGTAGACAGCATTTTCCTGGAAACCTGTGGGAGAGTCTTATGGCCGGGATTTAAGTAACTTGAATGTACCAGAGTCAATTGAGACACTGAAAAGCATTACTGCTGCTGCAACAGACAGAAAACTTTTGCATCATTAATGACTTTTAAAAAAATGGCTTGAAGTCAAAAGATTCTGACACCTCCTCTTTCAGGATTTGCCAACAGAGCAAGAGAGGCAGATATGAGCACCTCAAAGTAACACTTCCAGTCTTTTTTACCGAAACACCAGGGCTTCAGTCTGGGTCCTGCTGTCACCACACATAAAGCCAATCACTGAGACAACGAGTACTGCCAGGGAAGAAGACTTTATTCAGGGGCTGTTGCTGGGGAGATCAGAGACCAATCTCAAATCCATCTCCCCAGCTAACGGAAGTCGGGGTTTACACCGCGGGGAAGGTGTGTAGCTATGTGCAGGGAAACAAAGAAGGAGTAAAGAAAAAGAGGTGGTCAGCAGAAAGCAGGTGGTCAGTCAGGAAAACAGGAATTAGGGAAGGCAAGGGAGCAGTCACGACAAACAAGAGGTCTGCAGTCTCACTGTCCAAGCGCAGTGACCTGGGAAGTTTCAGCTCCTTGACGTTATCTGGGGGACCTAATGATTGGTTTCTGGAGAAGGGCACTCAGATGAGACAAACGTACCTTCCTTGATTTTAAGACTGGGGTGTGGAGCAAATGCGGTGGCTGATCCCTGTAATCCCAACACTCTGGGAGGCCGAGGTGGGTGGATCACCTGAAGCCAGGAGGTCGAGACCAGCCTGGCCAATATGGTGAAACCCTGTCTACTAAAAATACAAAATTAGCTGGGTGTGGTGGCAGATGCCTGTAATCCCAGCTACTTGGGAGACTGAGGCAGGAGAGTTTCTTGAACCCAGAGATTGCAGTGAGCCAAGATCTCATCATTGCACCCTAGCCTAGGTGACAATAGCAAAACTCTGTCTAAAAAAAAAAAGACTGGCAGGGAGTTCATTTCTTTGTTTATTTAAAAGAAACCATAAATATCAGTTGTGTGGGACAATGGGCCAGTTCCATCTCTGTGCTTTTTAATCCACACACCTCGCCCAGGGTCACCTGTACCCCTGACTCTGCTCTGCTTTGGAGAAACCCTTCAGCTCCTTTGGGCCTCCCAGCAGCGACCTGAGCTTCTGAATCCCACAGTGTGCATAAGGCAGCTAGCAGACAAGCCCTTGGGTCACAGTGGCAAGCCGGACACCCAGGGGCACCACAGCCACCACAGAAGACCTCAGACCAGGCTGGCTGAATGTAGCTATAGATCAAGAAAAATGTGAAAGTCACATGTGGCAGTAGACACAAGTCAGGTGCTCACAGGTGGCCACCACGTGAGACAGAGCAGACAGAGACCTCCATCAGCAAGGAAAGGTCCACAGCAGCACTGTGGCCATCACTCGGGCTCTGGCAGGACAACCTGGCCACATCCCACGGGAGGCACACACACCGAGTGTCTGGATCACGACCCAAACATTAGAGGGAGGCACGCCATATGAGAAATTATGCTGGCACACTTCTGCAGAGCAAAGGGCTGTTTCCAAAGCAGAGCCTGTCTGAGTAAACTCACACTCAGTGTGAGTTCAGCAACTCCTCTGTTAGAACAAGCAACCTGGAGAAAGCACAGCCACACTGCTGAAGGCACCCGAGAGAAAGGCCTCACCTGCTGCTCTGTAAGATCCGCCAGGTCCATCTTGTTGAGGACCAGCAAGTGAGGCTTAAGCCCAAGAGTTTCCTGAAACAGAGGGTTGCGGCCTGAAAGTGGGATGTGGCAAAATTAAGGCAAAAATTCCTCCAAAGCTTTTCCAGCCAATCAACCTGTTTTCTAGTCTTGTCGTGCAGACTGGGACCACTGTAAGAAGGAGCTGACAGTGAGGAGGGAGCAGTCTCAGAGAAAGGAACTCAGAAGAGACAATGTACCTTCCTTGGGTTTTAAGACTGGGGTGGGGAGCACAAGTGGTGGCTCATGCCTGTAATCCCAGCACTCTGGGAAGCCGAGGTGCATGGATCACCTGAGGTCAGGAGTCCCCTGAGGTCAGACTGTCCCCAAGCTCGCCCTCTCGCTGGTGCACCCCCACCCACCACCACAGGTTCACAAGGGCAGAGTTGTCACATGGCTTCCCAGACAGGAATTATAGTGGCAAAACACAAAGCCCAGGCTGGGCACAGAGGTTCACACCTGCCATCCCAGCACATTGGGAGGCCAAGGCGGGAGGAACATTTGAGGCCAGGAGTCTGAGGCCAGCCTAAGCAACACAGCAAGACTCCATCTCTACAAAATAAAATAATTAGCTGGGTGTGGTGGCACACACCTATAGTCCCAGCTACTCAAGAGGCTGAAGCAGCAAGATTGCTTGGGCCCAGGAGTTTGAAGCTGCCTCTGGGTAGTAAATGCACTCGAGTGGTCCCACTCGGGGAGGCAGAAGCAGGGCCATCCAAGGACAAGTGAACCTCTCTCACAATTCTTCACAAGCACCAGCATTTTTCGGACCAGGTGAGACACTGCTGTACCCCTATACTGGACAGTCAACTACCAGTCTAAAAAGAGTCACATTTTTAGAGGCAGAAGCAACCACCGATATGACTTAAAAGTACCAACTAGTGAAAGCACTTGTGATTATTAAAAAAAAAAAATCAGGCAGCAAGATTGAGTGGGCCCAGGAGTTTGAGGCTGCACTGAACTATGATCACATCACAGCACCCCAGGTAACACAGTAAGACCACGACTCAAAAAAAATTTTTAAACCCAAAGCTCAGAGAAAGATTTCATAACTAAGTTATCGCTTAGTTGCCACGGTACATACATTCAAAGTGAATAATCATTCAAAAAAACAAGCCCCCCATAAAATCCTAATAGATTATCTCAAACCACCACTGCCACCCTCTGTGACCACCACCAAGCACACAAGGGGTGTCAGCAGCCCAGGGCCCTGCAGCTGCACCTGCAGGCGGCAGGTCTGCCTCCTTACGACCATCCTCAGGCCTCCTCCCCTCAGCCAGGGACCCAGGCCTCGCTGTGAGGACGCATCTCCTGCAGCACTAACACAGGCAGAATGGGGACTGTCACCTTCACCTCCTTCACTCTCCACCCTGCCTGGCACTTCATCTTTCCCACTCAGTCTAGCTGTGAGATTCCCAAGGCTTCTGGCATGTCTTATCTGAGCACCCAGTCAAGCCAGTGTGTCCACATCCACACAGAGAAATTTGACATAAATCACTCTTCCCTCAGAGGCCAGCCAACCCTGAGCCCATGCAAAAGAACCCCGTCCTCTGGACTCTTCCTGGATGTGAGAGGCCAACAGCCGCCTTCTGGCTTTTCACCACACCTTAGATAGGAAGGTAGACCAGGCTAGAGGGGAAATGCCTTCTAATCATATACATTCATCACATATACTACACTCTGTTACCTTTTAACAATCAAACAGAAGACTGGCATATTATATGAACTGATATATTTATAGCCTACAGCAAAGAAACCCAATGCTTTACTGCAGAGGTCCCAGCAACCCTTCATCATATAGAGAATCTAAACATCACTCAATTACAGCAAAATCCGGCTCTGCGAAGAATACCCATCAATGAACAAATCATCACATCTTGCCAATTCACTCCTCAAGTACAGAAGGAAAGCCCCAGTTGGCAGGAACATTTAAACGATGGTTTCACAGTCTATCTAGAGAATTCCACTGCTAGCTTGAATGACCCAGATGTATGTATTAACAAAGAAGTTTCACAGACAGGCAGCCTGGACCCCACACCACAGATTCTGATTATGCAGTCTAGAAAGGGGCCTAGCAATTGGTATTTTTAAAAGCCTCCCCAGATAATTTTTTTTTTTTTTTGAGACACAGTCTCACTCTGTCGCTCAGGCTGGAGTGCAGTAGCATGATCTTGGCCCACTGCAACCTCTGCCTCCCGGGTTCAAGCGTTTCTCCTGCCTCAGCCTCCTGAGTAGCTGGGACTACAGGCCCACGCCACCATGCCTGGCTAATTTTTGTATTTTCTGTAGAGACGGGGTTGGCCAGGATGGTCTCTATCTCCTGACTTCTCAATCCACCCGACTCGGCCTCCCAAAGTGCTGAGATTACAGGCGTGAGACCGCGCCCAGCCTCCCCTGCTCTGTGAAAGGATATCCGGGCATCGTGGACCTCGATGATACAGTCCACCAGCTTCAGGCTGCTCTGCATCTTCTTCAGCCCTGGAAAACAGAAGGATGCCTCAGCAAAGGAGCTCACCACCTTTCAAGAGGGATCAATTCAAGCTGAATCGTCCAGAATGACATGCCGCCATAAATAACCTTAAAAGACTACATCTGAGTGAAACGTACTAAGCAATGACCTCCGTTGAGCGCCTCCTCCAAGTTCCACACCCTCGGAATGGGAGATGGACCAGGGCCCTGCCCGAGGGTGGGCCATGTGTCAAAACCCGGATGCAGTCTCCACCACCTGACTCGTGGGTGACTACGGGTGGAATATTTAACTTCCACGGGTCTTAATCTGGGCGATAAAATGGAGTAACACTGGTTCACTAGGCCCCTGCCACCTTGTAGGGTCCCCTAAGCCGGAATACAACCAAGATAACAAAGCTCCTTCCCCTCCAGTGCTGTCGGAGGATCGAGGACACCCACGCCGGCCCTTCTTCCTCCTCGGCCCTCAGCGCACGCGGAGCCGACGCAGGAGTGGCCATCTCAACACCTACAGGGGCTGGGCCGGCCCCAGAGGTCTTCTTGGGGCCGAACTGCGACAAAAAGAAACCACTAAGAAATTACCAAGGACGTTTAGGCAGAAGAAAAGAACGGCTCTACCTATGAGCCAAAGCGGAACAGCTGCCTTCATACCCATCATTTCATTCAGTCCCCGAAAAACTCAGAAAAGTCCATCTTGTCAAGGACTTGTGGAAACGGAGGCTTCGGGGGATTCAAGGGGCTGAAGGCACTTGGGGGGACCGAGGACAGGGGCGGCGGGCCAGAGGTCAGGGGTCAAGCAGGCCCCGGGCCCGCTCCGCCGAGGACAAGAGGGCGGGGGCGGCTCCGCCGGGGCACTCTCGGGAAGGGGCCTGCCCCGCAGCTGCGCAGGGGAACAGACCCGGCGGCTCCGGGAGCGGGGAAAGGGGGGAAGGAGGGGAAACGGGGGAAGAGGGGCGGGGCCAGCCAAGGACAAGCGGGACAGCCCGCGGCCGAAACGGGGGTGGGCGGGACCCGGCCCCTCCCCTCTCCGCCGGGCCTCACCTTTGGCCATGTGGCCCGGGAACCAGCGCGCCACGTCGCGACCGAGCACAGGGAAATTCTCCCGCCAGGCGGCCTGGGCGGCGCTGCACAGCGCGCGCGGAGCCAGCCTCATGGCGGCGCAGCCCCCGGAAACGCTCCCGCGCGGAGCCCCTCGGCCGCGCCGCGACTCGCCACCGAGACTCCGGCCGGGCGGGCTTCCGGCGCTGCAAGAGCCCGCGGCGCGGCCCGCGCGTGCGCACGACGCTGCCCCCGCCCCCCGCTGAGCCCGGAGTAGGCGTGACCCTCGCCGCGCGGGGGAGGGGCGAATGGTGGGCGGGGCTAGGAGGCGGCGCCGGGGCGGGGCTAGGAGGCGGTGCCGGGGCGGGGCTAGGAGGCGGTGCCGGGGCGGGGCTAGGAGGCGCCTCCGGGCACCTGGGAGTTCGCAGGGTTCCTGGGTTTTGTGGGGTTTTCTTTTAGCTCTGAAGCATTTTATTATCAAAACTTAGTATTCATTTACATAAACTAATAGGAACCTAAAATTCATCATACATTTACTTCATTTTTTAGCTTGACCTTCTAGTAAATCTTTAGCTTCATTGATTTTGGCTGCCATATAAGGAGACCCTCCTTTGTAAGGATGATTTAAAAGCATAATTTGTCGATGAGCATCTTATTTTCCCTTTATTGGCAGTAGGGCTTACACCTAGTATTGTCATTTTGGGTTCAAACCCACCTCCGTAATAGCCACCTCTGATGGCAGATTTTGGCAGACTTTGAAAAACTTGCTTTACTTGAGGCTCTGCAAAGCGTGACAGCCTGCAAATCCTGCAGCTGCAGTGGTCAGTCTGTCTGCTACCACTGTGCTGGCCATGGCTCCGGCTGGGCACCCTTGCTTGCACCAGGAGCACGGCTCATCCCAGCACAGAGGTCGCAGCCAACACCTGCAGGCCTGGACCAGAGAGGGACACACCCGTGACTACACGCAAATACTGCTGAGCAAAGGCGCCCTACGCCTGTGGGGGTTTCAGGTAATTTGCAGACTTATTTCCATTAAATTTTAAAAATCCTCGTTCTCCCTTAAGCATATCCTAAGTATAAAAAAATTTAACAATCTCATTTTACAAATTTGCTTAAAATATTTCAGTTACTTTAAATTTATCTTACAAATGTAATCTCTTTTCTTTTTAAGTACATCAGGGTTTTTGTTTTATTTGCGACAGAGTCTCTCTCTTGCCCAGCAGTGCAGTGGCTCCATCTCACTCACTGCAACCTCCACCTCCTGAGTTCAAGGGATTCTCCCACCTCAGCCTTGCAAGTAGTTGGAATTACAGGAACCCACCATCACACCTGGCTAATTTTGTGTTTTTAGTAGAGATGGGGTTCCACCATGTTGGACAGGCTGGTCTCAAACTCCTTACCTCAAGTGTTCCACCCACCTCAGCCTCTCAAAGTGCTGGGATTACAGGCATGCACAGCCTCAAGTACTTCAGGGTTTAATATAACAAACCATTTCCAAATACTGACTGCAGTTCTGCTCAAGCAAACTAACACAATGAGTCTGAAATATTCTCCACTGCCCAAGACTAGACATAAATGTAGGCGGATTTCAACTTTAAATCAGCAGTCAGCAACTCCTCAATGGCACACTGCTTTACAAGAGTATTACTCTACTGGAATTTTTTAAATAAGCTACTGAAATAGCAAACATGCTCAAATTCTAAGTACAAAAATATTGCCACGGTTTTGATGTTCCTAAACCACTTAATACCCTAACGCCCAGCTGTCAACATTTCTGGGCATGAGAGATGTGGCCCCTCCGGGGAAGACAGAAGACTCCCAGGTGGTTTCTGGGCTGAGTGGGACGATCAGGACCTCCTGCTAGGTCAGTGCCTCCCATCCCCCTCCTCACCAAGCCAGTCCCTCACACGCAGAGAGGGCAGCCTGGGTCTTGCTGCATTCGTCCCTGGGAGACAGAATTGGTGAAACTCTAACTGTCAATGATAAAGATTTTTGTACTTGAATGAAGGAAGCTGCATTCCCTCCTGGTCCCAGGAGCAAAAAACCACAATAAAACCTGTGAAACTTGAATTTCTCTCACAGGCATCTGATGGGCAGGTAACCCCTGAGAGACCAATCTAGTGACACAGCATCGGCAGGTGGGGCTGCCGGCTGCAGAGGGAGGCTGGGGCTCTGGAGGGAGGCTCAGGGTCAGGGAACGCCCTAGGAGGGTGAGAAGGAAGGAGCTCTACAGATCCAGCCTGGGGTAGAGGGGCCAGACAGGGGCCTGGCCTCCGGCCCAGCACCCCAGCACTGCCCACACCCCACACACTCCACTGGGCCAGGCACCCTGTTTCTCACTTCAGGCCTTATTATCTATTCACGTCCTCCAGAAAACCCCCGGCCTCAGGAAGAGCAGGGCACCCCTCATGTCCCCAGTGCCCTTCAAAGTGGGTGCCTGGTGCAGCATCGGTCGATGAGTAGGAGGAAGGTTGTCCGCTACGCTATCATCCCAGGCAGCAGCCATGAGAATGCAGCGGGACGAGAGGCAACTACAGGACCCAGAGTTCAGGGAACCCAGAATTCGGGGCCACGTGTCGTTGTGGGGGCTGGAGACACAGGGCCCTGTGTAACCTGGGCCTGGAGCAAGACAAAGACAACAGCAGCAGATGCTGGAGCCCCAGGGCAGGAGGGATGGAAGGCAGCAGAGGTAGGGAAGGCGGCTCTGGATGCTGTGGTCCAAACGTGCCTTCTGTGCCACCATCTCTGTTAGCATCCGGCATCTCAGCTCAAGTCAGCGCTGACCAGACTCCAGTGACAGACACAAGAACTGAGAAAGTCACCAAAACCAGAAGGCTCTCATTAACATCCCCAAATCTCAATCCAGGCTGAAATTGTCAGAGGAAACGAGGGTCCCAGCCTCCCCCAGCACGGGAGGAGCAGCGCAGGCTGGCCCTAGAGCCTGGGCTGGGGCTGCTGCACCTGCGGGGCCCACAGACCAAGGAGGCGGTCAGCCTCCCTCCACCCCGACAGCAGAGCCCCGTGCGTTGTGGAGTAAAACGTCCGATGTGTGGCTTCCCCTGCAAACAGGATCTGGAGCTGCAAAGAAGAGCCAGGGTTAGAATGGGGATGCGATTCAGACAGCTGGGTCTGGGCAGAGAAACACACAAAAAAACGGCTCACACCATCCACCAAGAGGCAGAGAACACAGCTCACATGTATCCATCAGCAGGCAGGAAAACGCAGCTCACACACATCCGCCGATGGGCGGAAAAGAAGCTACTCCACCCTGGAGCTCAGGTGTAAACAGCATTTAGAGAAAACAAGATCTTGTAAACACTGAGGAGTGAACTGACCACAACTACTGAATTGTAAACACTGAGTAGTGATCTGGCCACAACTACTGAATGACAAATGAGGAGGGTGGGGAGAACCCTGAGTGGGTGGAAGATAGCTAAATCTTATCCAATAGCATGAGAAGTCAGTCAATAACACCTGAAACTGAAAACGCAAGAAGTAACATTTCCAAGCAGCCTAACTGAAAAGAGATCATGAGCTGATTGGAAAACTGAGCACTGACTAAATATTGGGTAATACTGAGGAATTACTGTCAATTTTTAACTGGGTAAATAGTCTCCTGGATATATGGTTTTACTTTTACGTTTTCTGGGACAGGGTCTTGCTCTGACGCCCAGGCTGGAGTGTAGCAGCGCAGTCACAGTTCACTCCAGCCTCAGCCTCCTGGGCCCAAACGCAAGCGGCTGGGACTGCAGCTGCCCGCTACCATGCCTGGCTACTTTTTATTTGTTTTGTGGAGCCCGAGTCTCACTATGTTACACTATGTTGCCCAGGCTGGTCTCAAACTCTTGGCCTCAGCAAACCTCCTGCCTCAGCCTCCCAAAGCACGAGGGTTACAGGTGTGAGCCTCTGCCCTCAGCATCATAGTTTAGTATTTACAAGGATGTCTTTATCTTTCAGAGACATGCACCAAAATACCCCAGGTGAAACAATGTCCTGTGTGAGACATGTTTAACAGGAATGGGGGGGCGGGGGAGGAGCAAGCTTGGCTTAGGGGAAGTCTGCTGGGCACTCAAAGGTTCTACCTACTTTTGTATGTTTGACATTTTGCATAGGAAACGTTTCTCAAAACGTGGCCGAAGAAACATGTTTTAGAGATGCAGTAAATTTAGCGATCAGAATCAGCTGGGAGCACAGCCCAGGAAGCGCAAAAGGGGCTCCACCTGCTGTTTTTGTTTATTTTGTTTTGTTAGCGAGAACTGCAGAATTCTCTGACTCTTTAAGCTGCGTATGTGTATAATTCTCACAAAAATAATACACTTAAAAATTATTCTTAGTTTCAAAAAGAAAATGGCTTCTGAGTCTGGGGTCCCAGCCCAGCCCTCCCCAGCTCATGCTCCTGCAGCTCTGAGGCTCCCGGGGGGGGGGGCCTCTGCAGCCAGACCCACACCCGCGCCCCCCCACCAGGTAGGCCACACACCTGGGCGTCGGTGCCGTCTGCAGGGAGGGGCTGAGCCAGCAGGTCCAGGTCGTCCCCTGTGCTGCCCACAGCCACGTAGCTGTAGGAGCCCCTGGTGTACGGGGCGCTGTGCCAGCGAGACCGCAGGATGCTCTTGGGCGCAGGGAGCTGTGGGTTTCCTGAGCCACAGAGACACCGCTGTTAACCGAGAACTCTCACCCACACATCTGCAGCTGCTTCTGTCTTTTTAAAAACTGACCCGTTTAACGTGGAGGACGCTATGCCGGAAGCAAATCGAGCGGCAGAGCGCGTCCGGAGGAGCCCTTCCTGCTGACTCTGCCAGAACAGCAGGCCGCTGGCAGGCACCACCATGCCAGGCCGGCCGAGGGACCCGGGACCTGGGCCTGGGACAGCAGCACGCTACTGCTTCCGAGCCCTGGGTTCCTCCTCTGTAAAAATCTGACCAAAGACAACTGTATTTATTTTGGTGGCAGAGGTAGGAAGTGTTTGTAAAGCCCTTTCGGTTCCTTGGAGGTAGGAACTGCTACTGACCCCACTGACATGAGGAAGGGTTGTCCCTGGAAATGTACAGACTCAGCCAAATTTAGTTTTTCTCTGTTCTGAAAAGCTGTTTCTGTTTAGAGGTCAGCCAGTAACGAGCAGAGGCAGGCGCTGGCGTGTGCAGTGAGTACCTGTCACTCTCTGGAGCACCTGGGTGAGACACAGAAGCACTTCTTCATCCGACAGAGTCTCCATGAACTCAGACTCGAGCCCAGCAATGAACCCACAGAGAACGTGGACAGACCTGCATGGAGAGAGAGACCCCTGGGACGAGGCGTCCAGCCCAGCTCTCAGCCCGGCTCTGCCCGCAGTTCTCAGCAAGGTACCAACGAGGGAGCAGGGCAAGACAGACAAACAGGTTTCAGTGTCACAGAACACAACAAAATTCACCGGTGTGATCTCAGATTCCACATTTGGCCAACATTTAAGGAACTACTACTTCTTGAGTTTTGGTGTAGCATCAAAGAATACCCACAATCGCTTGCAAAGCTATTGAAATATCACTCTTCCTTCCACCCACATATCCATGTCCATCCAGACTGGCCTGTGTTTCAGCCAAAATAAAACATCACAACAGAATGAAGCAGAGGCAGGCCTGAGAATCCAGAATCTTCTATTAGGTGTGACATTAAAGAGCTCTGCAGAGGCCGGGCGCAGTGGCTCACGCCTATAATCCCAGCACTTTGGAAGGCTGAAGTGGGTGGACCACTTGAGACCAGGAGTTCAAGACCAGCCTCGCCAACATGGCAAAACCCTGACTGTACTAAAAATACAAAAATTAGCCGGGCACGGTGGTGCACACCTGTAATCCCAGCTACTCCGGAGGCTGAGGCAGGAGAATTGCTGGAGCCCAGGAAGCGGAGGTTGCAGTGGGCCGAGATCCTGCCACTGCACTCCATGCATTCCAGCCTGGGCGACAGAGCGAGACCTTGTCTCAAAAGAAAAAAAGGGTCTTGTGGAAAAGACAGAACTCTGCCATCTTCATTTAATTTTAAGAAAATATTCATTTTAAAATGTGATTCATGTTAACATGGAATAGGTTTTTTACTATCATCTCAAATAATAAATAATTTATCATGTGGTAAGTTTACAGATGTCACATCCACAAAAGCTCTTTTGAGATCCCTAACCCTTTGCAGGCATATAAAAGGATGGGATAGCTGCCACCCCGTGCCACAGACAGGGTCCCACCAGAGCACCTGGGATCCCACTGATGTCCTAAGCAAGAGAGCACAGGCGGTGGGGCTGGGCCTGGAGCAGGTGACCACAGACACAGTCACCCACCCTTGTTGAGACAGCAACCCAGGCCTGTCTCAACACCTGGAATGCCAGTGTTTTTTTTTTTCGACAGTTTTGCTCTTGTTACCCAGGCTGGAATACAGGCACTCTCTCAGCTCACAGCAACCTCCACCTCCTGGGTTCAGGCGATTCTCCTGCCTCAGCCTCCTGAGTAGCTGTGATTACAGGCACCTGCCACCACGCCCGGCTAATTTTTTGTATTTTTAGTAGAGACGGGGTTTCAGCATGTTGGCCAGGCTGGCCTTGAACATCTAATCTCAGGTGATCCACCCACCTCAGCCCCTAAAGTGCAGGGATTACAGGCGTGAGCCACCACACCCAGCCAGAGTGCCAGTTTTCTCTTTAATGTGAAGGAGACAGGCTTCCCCAGTCACAGGTGCAGGGCTGGTCTGCCGCCTCCTGCTCCCAGTGGACAGCAGTGATGAACCATCTGGCAGGTGTGCCCTGCGCTCCCACCACATCCGGGTCTTTCACAACAAGAACTATGCCCCCCTCCTGCAACTCTCGGAGGAAGCATGGGATTAGATCTGCCATCTGACCACAACAGGCTGGCGTTGTGTTTTAATCTGGCTAGAAAAGTCAGTTCCTCCATCCCCCACGTCACTCATGGGATTATCTCCTGGGTCGGCACGTGGTCTACATATGCTGCTTCTAAGAGGGAGGGCCCTTCCTCTACGGGTCTGCGATTCCATTACTTCTAGGCATGTCTTCCTCGATTACTTCATCCTGTTTCAGTATCGTCTCCCCAGGTTTGGGCAGACCGTGTTCCAGAGTTCCTCTGTATCTACAAGCCCCAGCTCCCTATAGCCTTCCAATAAACACGTTCCCATGGACGGAAGACTGAGTCTGCCTGCAAGTCCACGGACACATTCTGGGCCCCGAGGGGCGCTAACAACCCGCATACAGCAGGGCGCCATCTGTCCCCACAGAGGTCAGGCCCAGGGTGTCTGCTGTCAGCACCTGAAGGGGCTCATGAGATCCCCACCCATTAAACCCCCCAGAAATGCCCTGCAGTGAACTGACACGCTGCTGCTTCATCCATCAGATGAAGGTCTAACAAGCCAGCCACTCTCGGAGCCTCCAAGGGAGCAAACGTACCCAAAGGCAGGAAGGACCACAAAGCCGATGAGCTTCCGGAACCAGGCGTCCCGCAGTGCGGGGGCAGGGTCCTCCAGCGGGGATGTGTCCTCCCACACCACCTGGATCAGCTGGCAGTCTGGCTCCCAGAAGGGCTCCTCAAACTCCAGGAAGATCTTATTGTTGGTCCCAAAGCCGATCTTCCTGATTGCTTCTGCCTTCTCAGCCGGCAGTGGAGGGTCAAAGAAGGTGTCCAGGTGTTCCTTAAGAAAACCTGGAATGCAGAATTGGACTCAGCCTACATCTCATAAAGCTCTTCAGCTAGAATCGAGTGCCCACTGTAGGGCTGAGGGCCCCACAGGGTCGTGGGGTGAGCCTTATGCTGTGCTGAGGCGCAGGACCTGAGAAATAAAGAGACAGGACACAGAAGTACAAGGAAAATGCAGCTGGGCTCAGTGGGCCACGCCACCTATAAGCAGAGTCAGACCAGGCCCCGAATGTCCAGAAGCATCAGTATTTATTGTGTATAGGTTAGGGCGCAGGGCAGTGAGTGAATCATCTTTAAGGATAGTGATAGGGTCGTGAGCAATAAAACATAGGGTCCACCCCCATTAGGTCACCTAGGCCAGGAGGTGGACAGTGCATAGCAAGGGCCCATTCCCACGAAGGCAGGAGCTGTGTGCAGTAAGGGGTCCACCCCCATTACGTCACCAAGGCTTGAAGGTGGGCCGTGCGCAATGTAGAGGGTGCAGTGTGCGATAATTCTATCTATGGGCAAACTACTTCTAAGAAGATTTATAGGAGGATGCTTTAAGTCACACAGCAGTGACAGAGCTGTCAGGGTTACCGCCACCTTCTGGCAGCTTCCAATGGGTTCTATGGGAAGATGTTTTTCAAGCAGCACAGTAAGAAGAGCTGATAAAGTTCAGTCACCAAGGTGGATTGCTGGTCCGAGGGCACCTTCCTCAAGAACTGGAGCAAGGTCCTACAACTCCTTTATCAGGAGGACTGGCTCTCGCCCCAAGCCTGCCATACAGTGGGTATCTTTACGATACTGAACGCTGCCGCCTGGGCCGTGGGCTCTTGTCCTGGTATAACTGTTTTCCCTTAAATCATGCTCTGCACTGTGTCTGCTCCAGGCATTCCTCTGATTATGAACTAAGATATAATTATAGGTATATATGTAGGGAAATATTCTTTAGGCACTCATACTATCAACTATTATATGATTACATATAGAGGATTATATAAAGGGATTCTCCAAGCCCTAATTCTATGAACTAATATATGATTATGTAAAGGATTATATAAAAGGAAATAGCTGAGTAGTAACACTATAAAGTGAGATATTCCTCAAGCCCTAACTGTGCCAGGGTCCTGCTTAGCTCTCATTCCTCGGTGCCTATATGGGGGGTCACTCACACCCCCAGGAGCCCAACTTGAGTCCACCAGAGGAGTCAGAGAAAGAGGTTTCCAGACACACTGCCTCCTTCGAGGCCCAGGCTGACTCAGGGCCCTGGGGACGCACAGCTGAGGCCACTCTGGCTGTAAGGACCCACAGACTGGGGTAGACAAACCGAAACAGCGCAGGCAAAACGGCCCAGTGGTCACCACTGGCCACAAAGGAACAGTCAGGGCCACCATACAAGCTGTGATGTCGGAACCACTCACCCCTAAACCTCTGCCTCTCAACCTCTGCACGCCATGCTGCTCAGGAGTTAGCTTAGTGTAGTTGTTAAACATACAGGCTTTATCCAGAAGCTATATAAAAATTAATCTGTGTAGCAAAAGCACACCTATAGCCCAAAGGCAGACAGTAACGAGATGAACAACAAACAGCGAAATCAAACCACAGGACGGAGCCCTGTGGCACCAGGTCTCAAGTCTTAAGACACTGGCAAGACAGTCAGAAAAAGACGAAAGCCCAGAGACCAGCCAGGCAAAGGCCGTCAGTGGGCAGCGAGAGCGGGGGAGGCGCCCCACGGGCTGTGGCCACAGGTGCCCATGAAGGGTCCCCATGCCCTCCATGAAAGTCCTGTCTGTGCAGACCTCAGATCCAGCCACTTCCCTTGCTGGGATTTATCCCACAGCAACATTCACACAAGGATTTTTACTTCCTTTTCTTTGTTTCTGAGATAGGGTCTTACTCTGTTGCCCAGTCTAGAGTGCAGGCAGTGCACAGATCAAGGCTCACTGCAGCCTTGACCTCCCTGGCTCAAGCAATCCTCCCACCTTGGCCTCCCAAACTGCTGGGATTACAGGTGTGAGCCACCATTCCCCACCTTTCACACAAGTGTTTTCTGTTTTTTGTTTTTGAGATGGATGCTCGCTCTGTCACCCAAGCTGGAGTACAATGATGTGATCTCAGCTCACTGCAACCTCTGCCTCCTGGGTTCAAGCAATTCTCCTGCCCCAGCCTCCTGAGTAGCTCGGATTACAGGTGCGTACCACTACGCCTGGCTAATTTTTGTATTTTTGGTAGAGACGGGGTTTCACCATGTTGGTCAGGCTAGTCTTGAACTCCTGACCTCGTGATCTGCTCACCTCAGCCTCCCAAAGTGCGGGGATTATAGGTGTGAGCCACTTGACCCAACCCACCAGTGTTTTTACGTGCACATGTAAAACTGCATGATATAGAAAAAGTGAAGATCACCTAAATTTCCATCAATACTTATGAAATAATGACAAGAAAACACTGCATGGCAAGTGAACTGGCTCCTTTTTTTGTGTGTGTGGACACAAAGTTGCACTCCTGGAGTGCGATGGCGCCATCTCGGCTCACTGCAACCTCCACCTCTCTGGTTCAAGCAATTCTCCAGCCCCAGCCTCCCAAGCAGGTGGGATTACAGGCGCCAACCAGCTAATTTTTCTGAACTGGCTCGTATAAACAAAATGCTCACAGTTGTAACAATGTATCTACTGGCAATGTCCCTGGTGGTCAGCACTCAGCAGGCCCAGCAAGTGCCTACTCCAAACATGAATGATCAAAGCCACCAGAGGGAAACAAGAAAGACTTGTAGATCTAAGAGTGCTGATTCAGAAACACTGACAAGGTTCTATTAAGGGGAAAAAAACCAGTCAAACTGACTACCAGATTTTTTTTTTTTTTTTTTTTGAGACAGAGTCTTAGTCATCCAAGCTGGAGTGCAATGGCACAATCTTGGCTCACTGCAACTTCTGTCTCCCAGGTTCAAGCAATTCTCCTGCCTTAGCCTCCCAAGTAGCTGGGATTACAGGGGCCTGCCACCACACCCAGAGAATTTTTGAATTTTTAGTAGAGACAGGATTTCACCATGTTGACCAGGCTGGTCTTGAACTCCTATCCTCGGGTGGTCTGCCCACCTCAGCCTCCCAAAGTGCTAGGATTACAGACGTGAGCCACTGTGTCCAGCCGAGCAGCAGGTGTTTGTATGTGGACTACAACTGCATCTGTGGGAAACAGCAGTGGGGTCTGAGTGCTCATCCTTGCCCTGGGGGAGGGGACAGCCACCCCTTGGAGACAGGAGTTGGGGGTGGGGGAGGCTCTTGCGTTTCATCACATGCCCTTCAATCACACTTAGATCTCCAAGTGAGCTCTGGCACTTGCTAGCTTTGTGAACTTGCAAAGTGACTTCTGTTTGCCTAGATGTTCAAATTTGTCAAATGGGGGACGGTGCCAGATACCTGCCAAGGCTGCCTGAGGAGTCAATGAGATAACTCAGGCAGAGACCAACGGCGGCGTGAAACCCGTGAGAAGCAAATGTCCAGCTGACAGCAGTTATTCTAGTCACTCTGTTTTCAACCATCTCCACCGTTTATAAAACAGCTTCAAACCACCTGTACTCAAGGACACCCCTAAAGCACCAGATCTAGAATTGAATAGAATTATACACATGCCTCCTTCAACAGGTCACCCAGGCCTGAACTTGAGACTGGGTTTCTCATGCCTTTTCCTGTCTCCAGCAAAGTGCAGCCTGGTTAACTACCAAGGCCGTCCCAACCCTCACGATTCCCTCCAAGCAAGCAGGACACACACTTACTTGCATTTTTTCTTACAGTGAAACCCTTAAATCCAAAGCATGCAATTGCTACAAAACATAAGAGTCATTTCTTCCGCCTATCTGAAAATTATTAGAATGAAAATGTGAGCTTTGAGCTTTGTACCCAAGCAGACACCCCAGAGCCAACAGAAGCAGGATAAGGGCAGAGGAAGGGGCACTTGGGATAGGGGTTTGAGCTGAAAAGTTGGCCTACCTAAGGGCACGGTGACGATGACATGGTGTGCTGGCAACCGCTCTCCATCCTCACACTCTACTGACACTGGAAAGGTCTCTCCGGGAAAGGCTGCCTCCTGGAAGGCCCCATTCCAGTGAATAGTCTTCACGGGCTTCTCAAACACTACCGTGTTCTCCGGCAGGGAGGCCATCATGCAGTTTGTGAGCCCTTGGTAGCCCCTAGGAAGATGGAAGTGCTGGTTTCGCAGATGCCCAGTCCCTGGAAGGGCAGAACTCATGGAAATACGTGCTCCAAGTTCCCACCCGCATCAAATGTCGCTGCAGGGAGCTCTCCATTGCTCTGGCCGGCAGGGAGGGCAGCTCCACTCTGTGGTTTTCCACCACAAGGATGCTCACACCTGCCCTCCCGCACATAAGGGAGGGTTCCGCAGGCACAGAGCTCTCAAAGCAATCTGCTAGAACCAGGGCTTCCTGACTCACCGCCTGGGCAGGAGCCTCGGGGCCGACACCACCAGGAGTGACGCCTGGGAAAGTGAGGGTCTCACCTGCACCTGGTACCCAGCAGCCACCCTGCCACACAGAGAGGGGCTGTCTGGCCCCCTCTGCAGCCAAAGACCCTCATCTGGCACAAAAGAGGCCTGAGTAAATACAGAAGCAGGACAAGCCTTTCCTCCTTCTAATCACCCTCTCTCAGAAATAACTTTTTTGGCTTAAATGAGCAAAACCAGAGAAAGGAGCAACCAATCTGACTGAATGGAGAGAGCAAACGGTCTCCCATCCCTGCCACACCCAAGCGAGAGCAGAGTCTGGCCAGCCCCGGGGCCCTGGGGAGCCTGGAGTGGAGGGGGGAGGGCGGCACGCACTTAGAAAAGGTGCAGTCCAGCCCGGGCAGCACGGTGTACTCCCCGAAGGGCGCCAGGGCCACCAGGTCCATGCTGTGGGTGCCGCTCACACAGCATTCCAGGTTGAAGAAGGCGTTCAGGACGGCCAGCTTCAGTTTCTTGGTCTCCTCGTCCTCTGTCCAGCCGGCCACGTGCTGGCTGATCTCCTTCCGGAGGTACTCCCCCACGCTGGGCACCGGGGTCTCCGCGGCCTGCAGGAACTCTCGGGTCTGGTCGATCAGGCCGTAGAACAGAGTCGCCATCTCCGCCACCAGTTGGAGGCTCACGCGGACCCCGGAGCTGGTGTAGGTCACGGAGGGCAGGCCCACGTGACCCCCGGTCTCCACCAGCTGGTTCTCCTCCGACAGCTCTTTCTCCCCCAGCAGCCCGTACTCAGCAGCCAGCCGGAAGACGGGGTTGCCCCGGGAGGGCCCGTGGATCCAGTGTGCGCCCACCTCCACCACGCCACCTGCGAGGGGCAGCAGATGCCACCTGGGGTCCCTTTCCCAGAACGGCCACCCGGGCCCTTCTCCTGGGCCACGCCGCCGCTGCCTTTCCCAGGTAGGCTGTGACCCGTCAGACCCGGTGTAAGGGGAGCACCTGGCAGGAGGGCACCTGTCGGGCGGTCGGGACGGGAGGGAGGGGTGCAGGGTGAGCCACCCGGGGCTGCGGGCGCTCCCCGAGGGGCAGAACCAGGGCGACCGCGTGGAGCCGTAGGTCGCCTTCCCAGGCAGGCGCCCTCCTGACTAACTCTGCGCCCTGAGTTTCGGGGCGGTGAACTCTGGCCGATCAAGCGCACGAGGATTCCCGGGGGAGCCCGGTGAGGCGGCCCGGCCGGTCAGCGGGGCGCAGGGCAGGGGGGGCCGGCGAGCTCCGGCGCAGCAGGTGGGGTTCCGGGAGGGGCGTTACCGAAGCTGCGCTCCGAGCGGATGCGGCCCCCGGCGCGCGCCGTGGCCTCCAGGACGCGCAGGTGCGGGAAGGCGGAGTGGCAGCAGAGCCTCTGCGCCGCGCCCAGCCCCGCGATGCCGCCGCCCACCACCAGCACCCGGGGGCCGCCCGGGGCCTTCCCGTCGCCGCCAGTCGACTCCATAGCGCGGTCCCGGCAGTCCGCAGGGTTCGGAGTAGCTGAGAGGTCTGGAGCTCTCGGAGGAGGTCGGAGGAGGGGCGGGGGGCGGGGAGAGGCGGGGCGGGGGCGGGGCCCCCCACCAGGCGCCTCGGGACTGAGCTCGGGTGTCGGAGGGCAGCGCCCGGCGGGGGAGGACCCACGAGCCCGCGAGGACGGGCGTCAGGGAGCGTCCCCACGAAGGGAGAAGCCGGTGGGCCGGGCGGGCAGTGCCTCCTCCAGGGGAGACTAAGGCGCAGCGAGCGCTTCCCCGGGGACCCTCGGGACCTGCGCCGAGAGCGAGGGTGCAGTGGGTCTGGGGGTGCCGCGGTGTCAGGGGTGGGACCTGGGAGAGCTTAACGCGCCCAGAGGGCGCCCCGAGAGCCTCCGGCAAGGCCACCGCCCCTCGGTTTGCGTGTACACGCGCCTGCGTGTGCGTGGGCGGCCACGGGTCTGCGGGGGCACGGGACGACCGCGCGAGCAAAGCACAAGTTCGGGAGAGGCCAAGAGCAAGTGCGGAAACGCCTCTCGTCCCTCGCAGCTTCTGGAGAAGCTGGGCGCACACCCAGGCACGCCTTTATTTCTGGAATTCCCCCGGCGCAGGCGGCCGCGTTTTCTGCAGCATCGCAGTCCACAGGGGTTGGAAACTCTCTTGCCCGGTTTTCAGGCGCATCCTCACCTCCTGAGCCCCCATTGTCTCTGGAGGGGCAGCGCGCTCAAGTTTGCTGGTGTGAGCTTTCCCCTTGGCTCTCGGTGTGGGCCTCCTGAGCCGTGTCTTCCTTTGCTTTGACACCCTCTCGTCCCAGCTGGAGAAAAGGCTCCCGGAAGGGTGACTGGCGTCGCTGGATTCCACTCCCAAGCCCACCCTGTGAGCTGAGCTCCAGACACCGCTGCAGCCAGGGAGAGGCGCAGGTGCCTGGGGCGCGGGCTGACTCCCTGGGCGATGGCAGGCAGGGGGCAAACGTCCTCTGTCCGTCAGGGGCCCCCAGCACCAGGAGGCGACACTGGACGCAGTGGTCATCTCCTCCCGCTGCCAGGCCATGGGGAAGCCAGGGCAGCTCTCAGGTAGGCAGGGCTAGCTCTCCACCAAGCTGACCCACTCAACGTCCCAGGACTAAGGAAAAAAGGGCTGCTCCCTCCTCCATAGTCGTATGACACGTGTTTGGGGGTGCAGCCCCCCTGCTAGTGTCACCTGTCCGGCCTGAGCAGGCCTCTCCCTTACTCCCTGCTCTAAGGCCTGAAGGAGAGCCGCTGGCTCAGGGGTGTGCTCCATTCCCAGATTCCTGGCATGCACCTAGGAAGCCCAGCAGGGCCACCCAACCACCTGCCCCAGCTGGAGGTCCTGAGAGGGCAGATTAAATACTCTGGGGTCCTGAATTCCACAGATGAACTGGGTCTCCCACAGGTATGGCCACTCCCTAGTGGCACCCTCTGAAATCAGGCTGCTACTCTGGCCGCAGGCCCCAGCTCACTGCCCAGACACAGGAGCAAAACATCCTGTGGGCGAGGCTGAGGGATCCCACCCCGTGCTTCCAGTCTCCTGCATGGGTGTGGACCTCGCCATTCTGGGTAGGTGGGCTACTTTGGTTCCTCAGCCTCTGGGGGCTGCTGCTCTGTTTTCAGCACCATGTCAGGCACTGTCCCGTCAGCCAGCTCCTGCAGCCTGAGACTCCCGTGTCCTCATTCTCCTGGGCTGTTACAGTCGGCCACGGCCCAGCCTTTGCTGGAAGGCTGTCCAGTCTGGGCTCTGGTCAGGCATCAATGTCCCCCAGGCACCTGGCATCACCTCACATTAGGACAGCCTCTGCAAGATGGAACAGGAAGGGTCTGGCCTTGCCTCTGTCACCTCCTCCTGGTCCATCATGTCCTCCTGGCCAGCCCGTTCCTGGTTCCTTCAGGGAGCCCAAAGGGGACCCAGAAGATTCTAATTTAATTCTAGTTCAGGATGGTCCCAGAGCCTCTTGTGGGGCGGAAGGATCCCATAAAAGCAGGAACTACTTGGCTCAGAAGCTTGCTGGCCAAGCCTCCCCACTGTGGCCCACACAGGCCAGAGGTAAACATGGCCGTGCCCCACACCCAGGAGGGCTGGTGCAAATAGGGGTGACTGTAAAGTGACATGACTGAAATGGGACACTCTGGCTTTATGGTGCAGAGAGGAGACGTGGACCCCAAGAGCTGCAGGGTGGGGACAATCCATTTGTTCCGTAGACGTAGTGCCACAGCCTGAATCAAACAGCAGCTGCCACTGACGCTCTGACCTGGGGCTGGGTTAGTCACCCGCCCCCCCCTTGCTCTGAAATGGAGAGCGCATGTGACCACGGCCGGCCCTGGATGGTCCTGCCAAGCCAGAGCCAGCAGCCGGAACACACAGGTACAATCTCTGTCCCATCCCATTGGTACAGGTATGTTTCTCCTAGCTGCAGAGAGCCTTGGGTGATGCCACCTACGGTGATCAAGGTGGCAGCTACCCATGTGGCTTTGACTGAATCGGCTCGTTCATTTTTATAAATAGCTTTATTGATATAGACATCATGCCATATGATTTCTCCCATTTAAAGTGTCCAATTCAATGGTTTTCAGTATAGTTACAGAGTTGTACAACCATCACCATAATCAAGTTTAGGACATTTTCATCACCCTAAAAAAAAGGGGCTACGCTGCAGCATCATCCCATTGCTCCCTCCCTCCAGCCCCTGGCAACGACTAATCCATTTTCTGTCTCCACAGATTGCCTGTTCTGGACATTTCATAGAAATGGAATCATTCGATGCATGGCGTTTGTAGGGTCATAGCCCCACAGGGTCGTGGGGTGGCCCCTATCGCTGTGCTGAGGCACTGGATTCGAGAAGTAGCGATGAGACATGGAAGGACTGGAAAAGACAGCTGGGCTCGGGGGGCCACGCCACCTATGAGTGGGGACAGGCGAGGCCCCGAACGTCCAGAAGTGTCTGTATTTATTGGGTGGAGGTTCGGGGGCAGGGTAGTGAGTGAGGTCCACCCCCATCAGGTCACCAAGGCAAGGAGGCGGGCCATGCGCAGTGAAGAGGGTGCAGCGTGCAACATCTCTTATCTAGGGGCAGGCTACTTCTAAGGAATTCTATAGGCGGATGCTTTGAGTCAGCACAACGGCTAAAGAGCTGACACGGTACACAGCCACCTGCCGGCAGCTTCCAGTGATTTCTATAGGAGGATGATCTGAGTCAGCACAGTAGCTAGAGAGCTGACAAGTTATACAGTCACCAAGGCACGATTATATTGGAGGGGTTTTAAGCCCTCGGACACTCGTGGGATTGCCAGTCTGAGGGCAGCCTTCCACAAGAACTGGACACAAGGTACGACTCCTTTTTCAGGAGGAGTGGCTCTTGTCACAAGCCTGCCGTACAGCGGGTGTCTTTACGATACTAAACGCTGCCGCCTGGGCCATGGATTCTTGTCCTGGTATAACTGTTTTTCCCTTAAATCATGCTCTGCACCGTGTCTGCTGTAGACATTCCTCCAGCAATAAGCCGCTTATTCCTTAATTCATGCTCTGTACCATGTCTGCTCTAGGCATTCCTCCGACTATGAGCTAAGATATAATTCTATATATATATGGAAATAACTGAGTAGTAAGAAATTCCTCAGGCACTAATGCTATAAACTAATATATGATTATATATGAAGGATTATATAAAGGAACTAACTGAGTAATAACATTATAAGCTAAGATATTCTTCAGGCACTAATTGTGCCAGGGACCTGCTTAACTCTCCTTCCTCGGTGCTCCAATAGGGGGTTACCTGCAGCCTTTGTGTCTGGCTTTTTTCACTGAGCGTAACACTTTCAAGGCTCATCCCTTTGTAATGTGTATCAGTGCTGCTTTCCTTTGTACACCTGAACAGTAGTCCATTGTATAGTCTAATGCATTCTAACATATCCATTGTTTGGATATATGACGTTTTGTTTACCCATTCATGAGTTGATGGACAACTGGCTTTTTCCCACTTTTTGGCTGTAATGAATAATGTTGCTATGAACATTCATAGCAACATTATTCATAAGATGTTTATGACAGTTTTCGTGGACATTTGTCTTCAATTCTCTCGGGTGTACACTGAAGAGTGGAGTTGCTGTTTGACCTTTTGAGGAAAGCCCAGACTGTTTTCCACAGCGACTGCCCCACTTCCATTCCTGCCGGCAGTATGCCAGTGTTCCGCACTCACATCCCCCACAGTGCTGATGGTTGCTGGGCGTTTTATTGCAGCCAGCACCGTAGGTGTGACATTCTATCATATGGTTTAGAGCTTATCTGACATTGATTATCTTCACTGGAAGAATTTCTGTTCAGTTCTCTCACTATCTTGGTAGTGTCCTTGCAGCCATAAAAGTTTTAAATTTCCCTTTGTTGCTTGTGCTTTTGTTGCTAAATTACTTGATGGAGGACAGGAGCCACGCAACCTCTTGGTTGTTAGAAAGGAAACCTCTTGGCAGGCACTGTGGCTCACTCCTGTAGTCCCAGCACTTTGGGAGGCCGAGGTGGTAGATCACTTGAGGTCAGGAGTTCAAGAACAGCCTGGCCAACATGGCAAAACCCCCAACTCTACTGAAAAATTACAAATATTAACCAGGCATGGTGGTGCGTGCCTGTAGTCCCAACTACTCAGAAGTCTGAGGCAGGAGAATCACTTGAACCCGGGAGTGCAAGCTACAGGGAGCCAAGATCACACCACTGCACTCCACCCCACTGCACTCCAGCTGGGGTGACAGTGAGACAGAAAAGACAGCAAGGGAGGGAGGGAGGGAGGAAGAAGAAAAAGAAGAAAGCTCTTTTCTGTTTGAGCTGTTTCGTTTTGGGCCTATCTGTCCCAGAGGTCTAGCCTACGTTAACACAGCATCTTTCAGCAAAGCCTGGTTGATTTGTTTCTGCTTACACGAGATGTCTTTATTTCACCCTCGGTCTTGAAATAAAATCTTGGTGCGTGCTCATTTTCGGTTTGAACTGAATTATTTTCTGGAACATTGTGAGGAGAACAGGGTCTGGAGGCCAGGAACCTAAGGCCAATTCATGCTGACTCCCTAGAACTAAATCAAATGGAAACAGCAGCTCTGACAGGAAATGTCCTTTCCGTTCACGTAGGGTGTACACCAAGGAACCAATGAGAACTCCTAGAGGGTATTTAACCCCCCCAAAAGATCTGTAATGGGGCTCTTAGCCCCTATGCTCGGCTGCACACACACTGTGAAGTTACTTCTTTTTTTTTATATGGAGCACTTCATTAATTTTCATGTCATTCTTGCACAGGAGCCATGCTCATCTCTGTATCATCGTGCTGCCAAAGCGAGCACTCTTTTTTTTTTTTTTTTTTTTTTTTTTGAGACAAAGTCTTGCTCTGTTGCCCAGGCTGGAGTGTAGTGGTGTGATCTCGGCTCACTGCAACCTCTGCCTCCCGGATTCAACCGATTCTCCTGCCTCGGCCTCCCAAGTAGCTGGGACTACAGGCGTGTCGCCCAGCTAATTATTTGAATTTTTAGTAGAGAGGGGGTTTCACCACGTTGGCCAGGCTGGTCTGGAACTCCTGACTCAGGTGATCTGTCCACCTCGGCCTTCCAAAGTGCTGGAATTACAGGTGTGAGCCACTGCACCCGGCCACGCTTTCATTTTCCTATACATCTCTGCTTTCGTTGCTTCATTCTTTCCTTGCTTCGATGTGCGTTTTGTCCAATTCTTTGTTCAAGACGCCAGGAACCTGGACACGCTTCACCGGCCCAGCGGCAGCTTCGCTTTCCATTTGTAGATGTTTTACCTCCACCCTGGCTTTTGCAGAATCGGCGCAAGGACGCAAAATAGATGCTCGACAGTACTTGTCTAGATACTTAAAAGTTATAGGCCGGGCGCGGTGGCTCAAGCCTGTCATCCCAGCACTGTGGGAGGCCGAGGCGGGTGGATCACGAGGTCAAGAGATCGAGACCATCCTGGTCAACATGGTGAAACCCCGTCTCTACTAAAAATACAAAAAATCAGCTGGGCATGGTGGCACGTGCCTGTAATCCCAGCTACTCAGGAGGCTGAGGCAGGAGAATTGCCTGAACCCGGGAGGCGGAGGTTGCGGTGAGCCGAGATCGCGCCATTGCACTCCAGCCTGGGTAACAAGAGCGAAACTCCGTCTCAAAAAAAAAAAAAAAAAGTGATAATAAAATAATTTAGTGAATCACAATTGTATTAATTGTTTAAATTTGTCGAAGTCCTGACTATGTACTGGAAAATGAAACTCCTCCTCCTGTGGCGTCCATGGCCGCGCCGCTGCCACCGTCCCGCGCCCGGGCAGACGCGGACCCGGGCAGGCGCCGCCATTGCCCTGCATCAGCGCGGTGCCCCCGCGGCCGGAGCCCCGACGGCCTGGGCGGAGACGCGGGCGACGGCGGAGGGGCCTGGAGGGCGCTGGGCCCCGGACGAGGTCCCCGGGACGCCCCCAGACTTAGATCCGCGGCCGCGCGCGGAGCTGGGGGCGGGGCGACCTCAGGCCCCGCCCACTACGCCCGCGCCGATCTCGCGATGCCGCCTGGTCTCGCGGCACCGGCCTGTGGGCGGGGCGAGCCCCGAATGGCGAGGCGCGGGGGCGGCGCCCGGGCGGGGCGAATAGTGGGGAGAGACATGGCCGCTCTTCGTGTCCTGTTGTCCCGCGTCCGCGGCCCGCTGAGGTCCCCGATCCACTGCTCCGCGTGGCGTCCCTTCGCCTCGGGTGAGTGCCCGGTGAGAGCGGGCGGCCCGAATCCCCTCCGACTCCGACCTGCACCCCTGGCCAGACCTCAGACCGCACCCCCTCCCGCCTGACCCGCACCCCCACCTG